CTGATGAACAACTATCATCAAATTGTAATGAGGCAAGCGTCGGCCTTGGAAACAGATACGAATTGCCAGTGTATGTGTGTGTGTGATGTGCCACGTGTTGTGTGTGAAAATAAAGAAAACGCGCAACGCACTCGTTTGTGGCAAACTTGTGAAAATTGTTTAAGCCCAAAAACAAAATTAAAGCAACTTGTCCACAAATGAGGCAAACAACTCTCCAACGAGCAACAAGTCGACAAATACACACAAATATATATATATAAAAATATATATATATATATAATTATATGTATGTGTGTGTAGAGAGCTAGTTGGGAAAATGCGAATGTAGCGACGACGACGCGTGGAAATGCATACCACAGAGTTGTTTTTATGGCGACGATGCGACGTCAACGTCGACGTCGCTGCGCATGCGCAGCAGCCGAGTTCAATTTCTATAAAAGGGTCGACGATGCAGAGAAGTCAGACAAACGGACAGACAAGCGGACAGACAGGCAGACAGACGAGCAGACAGACGAACGAACAGACGACTAGTCGAGAGACACCGAGAACAGTGGAGCAGCTTTGTATCCGCCTGGCTATAAAATAAAAAAAAAACAAAGTCAGACAAGTTCTGCCGACGCGTCGCCTCTGTCTATAATTTTAACTCAACTTCCAACTCCCCAATAAAAGTGGCGGCGGCGGCGTCAGCGTCAGCGTCGGCGGCTGCGACTGCGGACAGAGACGACCGCAACGCATCGTTCGTTGACTTTACGTTCGCTAGGGCCGCAAGGGAAGCACAAGTGTAAGAGAGAGAGCGAGAGACAGAGAGAGTGGGTCCATGCAAGGAGCGTGTGATGATCATGTGATTGGTTTGAAGCTTTGCTAAAATAGTATAATTGAATTAAATTTTTTCGTGCAACGGAAGCGCTTAGTTTAAGAAACTGCTTGTCAACTGTATATGTGAACATGTGCATGTGTGTGTGTGTGTGCTCTCCCACACATATACACACAAACACAAGCATTGACTCTCTGTGACACTTGGCCCCCATATTAATTGTTTTAATTCTGAGAAATGCATACAAAGTGGCATTTAATTAAAATGAATTTCGCATCTGCAACAGCCATAGCGACAGCAGCAGCCACAGCAACATCAACAGCAGCAGTAGCAATGCATAATGCATCCGGCCGACCCCCTCCCCCCCCTCCCCTCATTCCACTGTGACGTTGCACCCCTCGCACTATCCTGTCATGAGCCTTGACTGTCTTCCTCTATCCTGTGTATGACAACATCCGAGCGACAGAGCCGAATAATTGCCCGAGTCTTGATTGAATTTCAAGGTTAATTAGCGTCATGAACTGAGCAGGCAGCAGGCAACAGTATCGAATGCTTCTTGTTGCACGGGTCGCTTTGCCAACAAACTAACTATCCCATACAACATCGAACAATGGCTAACACAGCTTGTGCAGAGATATATAATTAAGCGCTTAAAAAAGCCACAAGCAGAAGAAGAATTAAAACATATTTAACTGGCAACAATTTACTAATAGTCAGTTTTGTAAGCATAGTTTTGTTTAGAATCAGCTGCTTTTACTTTGATCTACCACTACAAAAGCAGAACTATTTAGGGTCCATCATACAGTGGCGGTCAAAATATTCGTACTCTTGCTCATTTTCATTTTTATACCTCCTTTCATATTCTATTTGAATCCTTCGCTGATATCACTCCTCAACATGTCTTCTCTCATACGCTTTTTTAATTTACACATATTAATTTTGACCCAAAATAATTAATGATAATATTAAATGCATTAGACAACTAAGAGTTATATTATATTTGCTGTAAAGCTTGAACTATAGGAAAAATCACTACAAATTTATAAAATATATGAAAATATGAAATATTAATACATGAATATTATTTCCACCATTAGCTACTTTGACAGACTTTACTAATCCAAATTTCATGATTACTTCCAATTGGGTTTCTTTCTATTCACTATCTACTACATGCAATACATATCCAAGTGTTATAAATATAGATATATATGTACATATATACGCTCATATCGGTTTACCAACCAATACAACAATAAATGCCATTTGCATTCACATCAACATTGAAAAAGAAAAATATAGAAGGAGGAGGGGAGGGTTAGCTTCCCGCAGAAGATAAGATAAGCCTGGTGTAGTGGTATAGTGGGCCAAAGTGGAGCTGCGAATGGAAATGCGGATGAGTAAAAAAGAGAAATAGCGCTTATCGCAAAAAAAACCCAAAAATTAAAAGTATGGAAATTCTTAAGAATTAATACGAGAATTCGTATATATATATACGAATATAAACGTATAATTGTAGCTTGTACCTGCTGTGCGAAGTGAATAGGCAGAGGCAGAAACAAGAATTTCATTTAGCATTTGGCATCATTAGGCGAACCCAACTTGCAACAACGGACGAGGCGACAAACACTTGAAGCATCCTTTATGGCCCAAAAAGAAAACAAAAAAGGTGCCAGAATTTCCACGCTATTATTCGCTTTCGGCATAAGTGTCATCGGAATTGTCAGCTTATCCAATTTTCCGGCTAGTCCCAAGGAATTTCCAGTCGTTAAACTGCTGTCCGTCCGCCTAATTACCTGAGCAGAGAAAGCAGAGGCAGCAGCAGGTAGTCGTCTGAATCTGGATCTGCAACAGCCTCTGACGTCACTGAATATAGTCCGTATATATTTATATGTGTGACCTTATCTTATGCTAATTTGTGTCCAAATTCTGCTTTAAGTTCTATTTTCCAAATGAAACCAATAAACAATGCCGATGAGGGGACAGAGAAGGGGAACGAAGGGCAGCCGAGAGATGAGCAAGAGGCAACCACAGCCAGCCAGCCGGTCCATTTATTGACGCTCTATTGTCAATTTGCAATATTAGCACACTCTGCCGAATGGGAACGTGCTTTTTCGGGGGTATAAACAGCTGTTGTGGCACGTATGGGGATCGGGAGGGGATAGGGGTAAGGGGAAGTGGAGCATTTGGGGTTTGTAAGCGAGCGGAAATTGAAAAGTGATAAAAATAAATATGAAGCCAGAGTCAGTCAGTGTCAGGCCAACAGCACTATTCAGATAATAATATATGCAAAAAAACATACACTCAGAGAAATTCTATAAAAGGCACTGGATTTTTTCCGTATAAAATTGAAAATAAAATTTTGTTGTTCCACAATAATTAACCGTTGTAAAGAAAATATGAATTGAATTTGTAACATTAACAGTAAATGTATATTTTTGTGAGGTTAAGGTACGTACATAACCTAACCTTAGATGTAACTCATTAATTACAACCCATAATAATTATCCTATTTAAAGGAATTCCATATAACGCCCTACTTACTTTCCCGAAGGCTAGAAAGTGACTGCTTTTAATCGAATTTCGCACAAAAACACAAATATGCAAAAATCTTGGGAAAAACTAACGGAAATTTTATTCAAATAAATCATAGCTATGTAAGAAGTAACGTTATAAAATGCGTAAACAAAGTTCCACTACGCCTGGTACAGTTTATAGCAACATAAACATGAGTGCCCCTAATCGAATTTCGCGAAGTGTATATAATTTATATTTATTAAATACGGGAATATATGTGTATTATACATTATATATAATTTGTGGGTTTGAATCATTGAATTTTCTACAAATTGAAAGTGTGGCATTTGACTATAGGTCTAGGTAGTAAAAATTTAAGTGCTGAAGAATGTGTTTTTTAAAAGAGCTGAGAATTTTTACGTTTTTAACGTTGGGCATTAAGTAAGTAATTAGTAAGGCATTAAAAATTTGTAAGGTGTCTTTACGAATCTGTAATATTTAGTTACAACCTAAACCCAGTAAAAATTATTAAAAGGAGTATTTAAATGTGTATGCAAGTGAATAACAGACAAAAAGAAGCATTTCCGGTCCCCTAAAGCATATATATTCATGAACAGCATTAACAAGCGGGTTGTTTCTCAACCGTCTATAAAAAAGCGATGATCTCAACTTCTTTAAGAATTAGAGACACAAATTTGGAACATTAGTTCACGTTCATCAAACGAAGTACAACAATAATGTTAGTCGTTTCGCTAATATTGATAAGAATCGACTATCGTTTGCAATAAAATATGTTATTAAAGTTATATCTTACCCAGATAGCCAAATTGATTATATGTACAAATTGTATTAAGATCGCTTAAGAAACACAAGAGAAATTGTATATTTCAGTATATTTCTCAACTTCTTCTCGAGCTCTCTTGACTCACGCTCTCTTACTTATTTTAATGTGAAACCCATTAAGCAGCCTTACAACTTTTAGCTTGCAACAGAGATCATCTTGTGACATGCAAAAGAAATGTACTTTATGGAGTAGTGTTTTTTGACGCGACAATCAAACAGAGAGACAGACAGACAATTATTGTCAAATGAGAAGCGTGCACCTTTTTCATTGTAAAATCTCCGGCCGGCAAAAACAAGTTCAAAGCAGCAGCACATTAATTTATAGGCGCCACTAAAAATTGTTCTGGCGTGATTCGAAAGATCATTTATAGAGTATGTCCGTGTGTCTGTCTGTGTGTCTTTGCCTTTTAATCTATTCATAGAGAGACCGGTGCTATTGCTTATCAGCTGGCGAATATAGCTGCCCCCACCACTGGCGACCGATCGCGGCCTTGTTAATAATAAATAAGCACAAGTATTTTTGAATTTTTGTGTTCCGACTAGACTAATAATAACATTTATAAGAATAATAATAGTACATAATAATAATGGCCAGCAAATGTTTATTTATGGCATGCATTTATATGATTTGTTTGGCTTTTGTTTTCTTTTTTCGCGCTAAACAGCCAAGCAACAATAACAAAAATAAATACTATAACAAACGAGTATAAAGTATAAATATAAATGTGTATTTATTTATTCATTCTTGAAATACTTTTGCCACACACTTAGAGAGAGGGGGAGGGGGTTGGGGGGGGGGGGGGGGGAGATTGATTTATGAACTCACCTCGCAGCGAGACAACGCGACAACCGTCCTGCTTGAGACGACGATGTAGCACATTGATTGTTGCATCGTTGTTGCAGTTGCCACCAAACATGGCCAATGCTGTTGCACCAGCCGCTGCCACATCCTGTTGTTGCTGGTGCTGCTGTTGTGGAACGCCCACATCGTTGTAGAGTATAAAAAGACAGACTTTGTAGGCCGCTTGAATGCGCTCTTTCAGCTCCTGCGATTTGATTGTCGATGGTAAATCGATCTTGCCAGCAGCTAAGCGACGCAGCATAATGCTCGGTATGCTAAAGTTTACGGCACTTCGAATGTGCGATTCGCTGTATTCCTGCGAGCCGCGACAGTCGAGTATGATCAGCTTTTTGGCATCGCAGCTGGCTCTCAGCTCCGATTGGAGCCACTCTTTGCTGCAGCACTCGTACTCCGTTTCCGGCATTGTGAAAAGCTCTGCTTCTTCTACTATTTCTTATTTTTTTTGGCAAATGCACTCACTACTCACTTTCTTGCTGTTTCGCTTTTTCTAGTTTTTGTGTCTTTTTTCTTTTTTTGTTTTCGTTTGCCTTACAAAAGTTTACATCATCTGCTGCTTTTGTTGTTTTTGTTGCTTGCTTTGCCTGGCGCACATTTTTTGTGTAATTCTTCTGCTTCTGCTTTCCTTTTTGTGTTGTGCTTCTACTCTCACACAAACAGGCACACACTCATGCACACAACACACATATACACGCGCACCGCAAGCAAGCAAACGAAACACAATTTTTTTACAATGAAATCTTTTTCCAGCTACGTTTTGTGTAGAATTTTCCCAAGCGCTTTGGCTGTTATTGCTCTCTCTCTCTCTCTCTCTCTGCGATTTGTTAACAATAACAATAAAATTGCATTTGTTGTTTATTTGGCATTGGTTGCTTCAAAATTTTTATTTACACTGTGCTCGTTTTTTTGTGTGTTTTTGTATCGCACTTTAATTCGTTTTTTGATTATGTTTTGTTGTTCACACGCACACAAGCCCGCCAAATCACTACCGTGTATGTATCGCTATAAGTGTGTGTATGTGTTTGTGTATGTCGAAGTTGAGTGTGTTAAGCAAATGAAATAAACAGAGCCTAAAAAACGCGCACTGAACACCGAACACCGAAACACCGTACGAGCGAGCGGCCAACATCCAACACGATGCAGATACGCTAAAGGAATGAAAAAATAAACGAAAAATTTGCCTCAGTTCACTATTAGCAGAATGTTAAACATACTGTTAAGCCGTTTCTGTTGTACTCTCACAACCTGTTATTGTGCTGCTGCTGTCGATTCGTTTTTGTTGTTCATTTTGCCGCACATGTTACCTCAATATTGTGCAAATGATTTCTCAAATGCTGTGCTGTAAGGTGTTCTCGCGCTGTTGTACTCATCGTAAGCTGTTATCTCGCTGTTGAGCGCGATTTGGTTCTCTGAGCGCGAAAACTGTGCACCAAGAGCGAAACCCAACAGTAAGTTAAAAGCATGAGAATTGTAATGAAAATAACACACATGAAAAAAGAATGATTGGTAAAATCCTTCATTTTGGCTGATACATGCGAGAAAAATTTGATAGAAAAATGGATATTGCTCTTATTTTCGCAGAATATTACAATAATTATTTATTTTAAAATTGCTTATTATAAAAATTCATTTATTTTGTATCACTGTTCCAGAGTTCCGGCTGTGTCACACAAATACCTCCAAAGGCAGCAACGACAAGTGAGCGGCCGCCTGCAATAGCAGCACCCACACACACATACACATCGTGAGCTGTTATCTCGCTGTTGAGCGCGATTTGGTTCTCTGAGCGCGAAAACTGTGCACCAAGAGCGAAACCCAACAGTAAGTTAAAAGCATGAGAATTGTAATGAAAATTACACACATGAAAAAAGGATGAATGGTAAAATCCTTCATTTTGGCTGATTCATGCGAGAAAAATTTGATAGAAAAATGGATATTGCTCTTATTTTGGCAGTATATTAAAATAAATATTACTTTAAAATTGCTTATTATAAAAAGTCATTTATTTTGTATCACTGTTCCAGAGTTCCCGCTGTGTCACACAAATACCTCCAAAGGCAGCAACGACAAGTGAGCGGCCGCCTGCAATAGCAGCACCCACACACACAACACATATGAACAGAAGGAAAAGAGAGAGGCTGAATGCTACAAAAGGTGAGCGTGTAGAATGAGCCCGTTAGGAAATTTGATGTCAATTGTGTAGATGTTTACTTTGAATTGAAAAATTATATGTATATTATATTCAAATATACAATATGTAAGTTGCAAATCAGCCAAAATAAGCTCAATCAAATTTTCAGTTTATTTAGGGTCATTTAAAATCATTTGCCAACACTTTATTTTCAATTTTGTATGTGTATTAATTTCTCACCTTACTCATTGCAATGTTTTCTCCTTACAGACTCTCCCTCCCCATCTATCTGCTTCTCTGTCTCTCGCTCTCGCTCTCCCACAACAGCAGAAACCTCGCATGTGCGCATAGCACACGCTCATAAGTTTGTGTAAAGTTCATTGATATTTTTGTGCATTGGTATGCGTTGAATGCGTGTGTTGATTCATTGAGCTCGCTGCTCTGAATATGCAGCGTGTGAATGTGTGTTTGTGTGTGTGTTATGTGCTGGGATGTTATATAGAGACAATTTATGTACATATGCTTGTAAAAATATACATACATATGCCTATATATTCATACATACATATAGTCTATACTCCAGCGAGCGCATATGAATGCGAAGCCACGAATGGGGCGCGGGGTTGCGTGAAGGGTTAGTAACTGGCATAAAGTGGAAGTGGAAGCTCTCAACTATGCAAATGTTGAGCGAGGCGGGAATCATCTCTTAAGTAAAATGTGTGTGTGTGTGTGTTTGCGCGTGTGTGTGTGAAGTGGTTATATACTGCAGCCAAAACTCATCAATGAAGTCAACACAATCAGCAAACTCTCCGAAAAACACACACACGCACACAAACATACAAGGACATGGTTGCCAACAGGGTCGTTTTTGGAGACAAGCTGAATGTTTAAATTTATAACCGTGACCCTGATATTTGCAAACAGCAACAACAACACTGCCATAGAGTCCAAGCCTCAGCATTTCAAGGATATGCTTTTTGCGCGTGCACAAAATATCTCCAAAAAGCTGCCCCCAAGCAGACACCCCCCCGCCTGCCTCTCCGCTCCATAACATGACAACGCATGCGCTGCTCTCGTCACAAAAAAAGGGGGCTTATGTGTGTGGCTGTGTGTGTGTGTGAGTCTATGTGTACACACACACACATTTACAGTCTGCACAACGTGCTTTTTATGTACACACAAACGGCGAACGGCAAACGGCAAACGGCGACAGCTGCAAAATGTGTGACTCGAAACGAGAAATTTTCATGAATGAAAGTCCCACGCAAATGGCAAAATACAGTTAAGCAACCGAACACCGACAACAACCGCCCAGCCCTCACCACGCACCGCACCGCACCGCCCCGCCCCGACCCACAAAAACAAAAATCTATGCGAAGCCCACGCATTTTCCGCTAGAGGAGTGGCGCCGGAGCGGGGGGTAAGAAAACCTTTAGGATTGGAAATAGAAACTGGGGTGCGAAAAGCGCGCGTGGGACTCGGGTAACAAGTTGAGAGAGAAAATTGAAAATTATGTAAGCCCTGCGGTATAAATTACGCGACCTGGCAACAACATCAAAGTGCAACATCAGCCAATGCCAGAATGCCAGCCATGGCCTTGAAAACCAACAACGCCCACAAGGTCAGCCCCGGGACGCGGAGGAGTGCGTCCAAAAAAAGAACTCAAAAAAGAACAAGAAAAATGAAAATAAAAATAAAAATGCTGCGTGGCAGATAACAGCGATTAGAGCTACCAAGTAGACTAAACGCAGTCTAGTTGACTGCTGACTAATAAGCCACAAGGCTCTGACTCACCTGCGCATAAACTGAACTTTGATTTCTATTTATAAATATACATGTTTATATATATTTTGATACGATATTCGAGCAAATTGAGCGATTGAAAAAGTGACTTCACAGCTAATCTATAACCAATTGGCGTACTTGGCATAATTTCGTCATTCGAAAGAAAACCAAAACTTGACTAATGCCTTAAAGTAATAATGAATTCAGTGGAGCATCCGTAGCATGGAAAGGATATAAACTGAACCGGCAAATTGTGTTTCCTAAGAATTCCTAATGTCGTTCACCTGCCACGCCTCAGTGTTCTTAGACGGGCAACAATTTCGTTTGTTTTGCTTGGTTGAAGTTGAATTTCATTGAATTAAGACGCATTTACATAAATTTAGCCGATGCGTGTATAATTTCTAGGAACTCGAATAGCTCATTGAAAATCCACGTTTGTCTGGAAGATAGAAATAAACCGAATGTGTTTCAATATAAATATATATGCATATCATTTTGCTTGATTTCCATGGAACTTATTCTTATAATAAGTTGAAATTCTGTCTCATATGTATTTCCCTGAGAGTTATCCATCAATGAGATGAGTTCTCGTTAAAAAACAACTTTCTTTTCCATTAATCATTCCATTCATTCATTCTTCCTCGATCTATGTTTTAGTCATTCTCTTAAGTTAGTTATTCTCTGTTTCAATTGATATAAAGCCACATTAAATAAATATAAATATAAACATATATAATTATAAATATAAAGAAAATATATAATTAAAAACGATTACTTCGACTATATTATTATACCCTAAGCCCATTAAAAATGAGTAAAAAGGGTATAATGGTTTTGTGCAAATGTATGTAACAGGCAGAAGAAAGCATCTCCGACCCCATAAAGTATCTATATTCTTGATCAGAGTCAACAGCCGAGTCGATATAGCCATGTCCCTCCGTCCGTCCGTCCGTCCGTCTGTATGAACACGCAGATCTCGGAGACTATAAGAGCTAGATTCAAATTTGGAATACGGGTTCTCGTTTACCCGGCGCAGATCAAGTTTGCTTTATTTGATCGATAACTGCCTCCGTTTCTTGATTATCGATACATTTAAATTTCCGATAGCAATAAATGCTACAACCTTAATAAAACTAGAATATATTTAACAACAGGGTTCAGGGTATATCGTGGTCGACCTCACTCGACTACAGCACTTCTACTTTTTATTTAAACTCAGACTTACTTTCAATTATTTAATCTTAGAACACTTCCATTCGCTTTCAATATATTACTAAGCTGATTCCAAAAAGTACTTCTATTTATAAATTAATTACTCGCAAAGACTATGGCAATAAATATGATGAAATATAATATGAAACATATGTATATATGAAATATTTATAGAACTATTATCAATGCAACAATTTATACATTATTACTCACTCTTCCACATAAAATTAATCATATTTAGAGGTCTATCTGGCTGCGATTCATTTATATATCCCCGCCAGTGATATGTGGCACTATCGTCAAAGTTACTGACCTAAGTAACGCCAAAGGGATTAAGAATGTTGCAAGCACGAAAAACGATAAACGATGGAGAGCTCATAAGTTGGCATACTTCCGGTTGATCTGCAGCATTCCAGCGACAGCAACCCACATAATATCTGTATCTGCCTCTCGCTCTCTCTTTATGTATCTCTCTCTCTCTCTCTCTCTCTCTCTCTTTGAGTTATAAAAAACTTCAAACTGATTCATGGCAGCGGATGTTTGTGGGCGCCAGTCGGCATTTGCCAATCGGCGATCAACGCTTTTGACGTTTTTTTTTTTTTTTTTGACCAGAGCCGGCTGGCAAATGTTTAAACTTAAAAGTTTTGTTGCTGTTGTTGTTGTTGTTGTGAACCAATGACGCCACAGTTTGCAGCTTCTGACGATTGATATAAAACAAAAGGCAAACTGACTGAGTGAATGACTGACTGACTCTGGCATCTGTATGCTAAATAAATACAATCTGCTGTTGTTTCGCTTCTTGTTGCTGTTGCTGTTTCTTGCCACAGGTTGAGTTGTGTGACTCAACTCACCTCACCAGTTATCCACTTATCCAGTCATCCAGTCAACCAACCAACCAACCAACCAACCAGTCAGCCATTGAGCTCCTCCACGCGCTGTTCCTTAAGACAAACACCTACGCCAAAAAATCAAAAAAAGAAGAAAAAAAAGGAGAAAAGAGAAATCCTTTTGACGTCATTGCCAGGCCGCTTTAGGCGTTGTGCAAAATGTTCAAAATGCCGCCTAATAAATAAATATTTTTTGTGAATCAGCTGAATCAGTTGAATGGTTTAATGATTATTATTTTAATTATATATGTTTTATTTCTAGTAAGTAGTTCAATTAATTGTTCTATTAAACTAAATTGAAGACGCCAAACTAAACTAAGCTGTATTATTGCTCAATAATTTTTTTAAATAAATAATTAAAATGATTCATTTGATATGTGGCTGATGGCGTAGACAGACTGACAGACTATTCAACAAATATTTGATTGCGTAGTCAAAATATTTATCACGCTTGTTTTGATACCATGAAATCATTGAACAAAATATACAATAGTGTGTACCAGGCAGAGAGAACAAAGAAGCATATCCGAACCCATAAGGTATGTTTATCTCTTTAGGCTCTTTAGCTATGCTCCTCTGGTTTCTTGAGTTGATCTCAAAGAGCTGTAGAATTCAAGCTTGGAATGCAACTACTCGCACACGATAAGCAAGCTTATTTCATTTTATCGATAAGAAATCGATTACCGATAGCAATAAAGTCAGTCACTTATTTTACTTGAACATGCTGAGAGAGTTTTTATACAATTGATTGACTATTTTCTTGCAAAAGCTGCTAAAATAGAGTATTTTGTGCTGCATTAAAGTATAAACAACAATTGTGATGCGAAAAACCCGCTAGAATCAGACAGCAGCAATCAGCAGCTTCGGCACCAATATCAGAAAACATATTTGATGAGGTCAAATTCGAGGAATGTGAACAAATGGTGCGGGTGCTACGAGTTGTAGAGCTGCAAAAGATCTGATCGTTTTTAAACCTTTCAATCGCTGGACGAAAATCCGATCTGCAATTTTGCAGACTAAACTGGAGATGCTCGCACCCAAGGTCAAAGACGTCTACGCCTACGCCGTGCAAGAACAAAGCGGCACACAGCAGTCCATAGATCTACGTAGAATGTTCTTCAAGTGCAGCCAAACAATGCGGGTCTCGCGAGTCTTGGTGCACTAGGAGCCCAGGTCGACGTTAATCCCGGCCAGATGCAACATGCCCAACTAGATGCCAATACATCCCGATGTGCGTCTGAAAAAGCTCGCCTTCCACGATGTCCTGGACACCCACATCAATCCATCGACTCTGGTGCCACACAACACACATTGGGGGCAGGTTGTAGCTTTCTATTTTACGCTGTCGCCATAGCTGGCTACAAAGATGGCCACAAATCGGGATAACAACAACCACAGCTCGAAAGTGGAGCACACTATACGAATGAAGCTGCGCTTCTCTCTCGTGGAGACCTCTTGCGACCAAGAGCACTGCTTTCCTCCCAATCTCAACTTCAAAGTTAACAACACATGGTATAAGCCACCTAATGTCATTCTTGCAAATCGGACAAATGTGGCCGATAAATGTTGCCGCAAATGTAAAACCGTTGCCAACGGTGACAAACAAAATAATGGTGCAATGGTGCCCGGACCTCAGCTACTGCCTGGCCATCTATTTGGTTAGGAAACTAACATTCGCACAGCTGCTGCACCACATGGAGATCAAGGGTGTTAAGCCCGCGGATTACACGCGTGCTTTAATTAACCGACAGAAATTAACCGGGGACGCTGACTGCGAAGTAGCCACAACCATGTTGAATGTGTCGCTTAATTGTTCGCTGGGCGACATGAAAACATGCAACATGCTCGCACTTGCAGTGCTCTGATGCCAGTCTCTACCTGCAAACGAACGAGCGTAAGTCCACCTGGAATTGTCCATTTTGCGATGGGTCAGCCAGCTACGATAATTTAGTAATCGATGGCTATTTTCAAGAGCTACTCTGAATTTCAGCTGCATCGGAATGGCTCGTGGATCGCAGCGACTCTCAATTACTGGGCACACCATCAAAGCCAGTCTCGCAGTTTGAGGTCGTTTCGGATGACGTCGAGTTGACGCCGATGAAGTCGCCAGTGCCAAGTCCACGTCCAACATTGAAACTGTGGATTGCAACTAATGTGATTCGGATGATGATTTGCCGCTGCCTCTTACTTACTTATGCCTCATCGCAACAGCGGCCCAAAAAACTGGTCTCCGCAAAAGTAAATCAGCTAAGAAGTAAGTGCCGTGATGTCCTCGCAAGGACATTTAAATAATATACACACCCAATCCGGCCGGTTCTGTTTTAATTGAAAAGTTTCTATTTTTTGAAATTGTATTTATTTCTATTATTAAAAAATACATTTACAGCAATGCAATAATAAACTCGATTTTAGGCGAACATTTTGCACAAAAAAAATATAATATAATAAAAATAAATGTTACAATTTTAAAGATACATCTTTCTACACTATTTTGTATATATTTGAACAGCAAATTAGTCATCTGTAAAGATTTCATAAAGATCGACATATTCCAGAAAATTGTATTTTCATATTAACAAAAATGATTTTAATATTATTTTCATTTTCTTATTATTTTTCTCATAGTATTTTCCACATTTAGAAACAAGTTTAATAAATACTTTAATTTATGCTGGTGTACTTATTATGTTGACTGTAGGTGTACTTTGTGTATATATTTCCGTATCAATTACTGTGCCACAACTTTCAATAAGCCGTTTTAATTTTGCTTATTTATGCTTAAGCAAAAGTCGCCAATTTCTTTAATTTTTGTGTTGGCTTTTTTCGGAGTGTTGGTTTTTCATTTAGCGCGAATGTATTTTTAAACTAGAGCCTGCTTTACTCTCAATTGGGCCGTGGACGGGGCTAACGAAGGTTAATGCGACTGTATTTGACCTTTCGGGTCAAGCTGGAGGCAAATTAATTGCGCGAATTGAGAGCCCATTGAGAATTACAAAACCATGCATGTATGTGTCAGTGTGTGTGTGTGTGTGTGTGTGTAGAGAAGAGTACTCTACTCAAAGCTCCCTTCAGCGGCTGGGTGACTGTAATTAATACAACTACAGCAGCAACAACAACAACAATAACAAGAACAACAGCCAATTTCAGCCAATTGAATCAATAAACCAAAATGTGAACTTTCCAAGTTGATTTTCAATTGTGAATTGTTTGTGGTTGTTGTTGTTGTTGTTGCTTTCTGGCACTTCCGTTGTGCGCTTGAATGCGTTTGGCATTTACAGTGGGTTGGCAGGGCCGTTAATTATGTTGACCCAAGTAATTTGTAAATCAAATGTGGAGTGTACGTATGTATGTGTGTGTGTGTGGGCGTCGTCGCATAAAAGTGCGCCGTCATCAGTGGGCCCCAAAAAAACTGCCACTTGGTTATTGTAATTTGCCACACGGCCCACGCAGCAGCCTCGCCTCGTTGGCCTGGCCAAAATACACACACACACACACATATATATATATATATAAATGTGTATACATTTTATTTTTGATAACGCACTGTGGAATTGCACGCCCACGCAACCCTGGCACGCAGACAGCGCCGCCAACGTCGACGTCGACGTTTTCTTTCCAGCACGCCAAACCCGCCATTCATTTCATTTCCACCCGCCGCAACAAAGCTGTGCGTATTTGAGAGCAGAGTGTAGAGTGGAGAGGAGAGTGTGAGTAACTGAAACAGAGGCATCGGCAGCGGCATTTTACGCATTCCAATCAGGCAAACAAAAAAAAAAGCCAACGTGGGCGATTTTCATTTCCCTTTATATATACATCTGCTTATATGTACATGCTTATTTATATATGTAATTGTGTGTAGTAAAACGGCAGAGCAAAAGTTATGAATGAAAAGCTTCGGATCTGCGCGTGGGCAGGCAAAAGCTTTTGGTCATTGGGGCGTTGTTTGCGTTTATTGCGCTGTTGCTTTGCGCACGTTTGTTTGTGTGTGTGTGTATTTGTCTGCCTGTGTGTGTGTGTTTGTTGAGGCTGCTTATTAAATTATTATTATAAATTGTTCTACAAATGTAAAGTGGATTTCCGCACACACAATATATATTGATTTGCAAATAGCGTGGTAAATTTACAAGTCTTACAGTTTTAATTATTGTTTAACTCATTGTAAAGCCATTTTTGTATTTTATTGAAAGTACTTTCAAAAAAATATATGGCAAATTGAAAGAAGCGCCTTTTAATTTTATAGCAAAGCTCAGCATGTTAGTCATTACACACACAAGTTTATGACAAAAGCTCACCACTTTAGTCGATACATACACCAAACGGATGCCCAACGCTGCCCACTTGTTGCACTCAATGCAGCCCTGGCGTCAAGTGTGTAACTGCCAGACTTGCACTCAGCACGAGCGTGTAACAATCGATACGTGCACATTTTCGATATGCTGCCATCACTAATGGGTTCATTAGCTTTCTGTCTCCGCCACCCAATCCACAAAACCCAATTTCCCCAACACCCCCTCACCCAAAAAATATAAAGCGTTTTCGACTCTCTGCATTTGTATTTGTATTGTTTGCATTAAAACAAACGGCGTCGAGCGTGGAGGTCGTCTGCCTTGCGCTTTATATATATAGATATCAATATATATTATTTGTGAAATAGTCTGCGTCATTTGCATTGCGAGAAGTTGAACTCGAAATAAAAAGCAGACTCAAATTGCAGCGATGGAATCGGATACGACGGAAAAAGAAAGTGCGCCAATGGCGGGCAAAGCAGAGTCAACAGTAGCAGCAGCAGCAACAGCAGCAGCAGTAGCAGCAGCAGCGACGGAGTTGCAAATCCCGCCGCAAAGTGAAAGCAAAGGCGAAGCGACGCCGCCGCCAAGCAAAAGACTCAAAATTGTAGGCGAGGAGCAGTTGGAGGCGGAGGAACAGGTGGAGGACGAGGAGGAGGAGCAGACAGAGGCAGCTAAAAAGGAAGTCGAGGAGGAGTCGCCGCCACAATTGGTTGCCGTTGAGCGGGCGCAAAGCACACAGAGCAGTCTGCGTAAATTCAATCAAATACCCGTTTTTATTGTGGACTATCACAACGATGTGCTGGAGTTCATCTATCGCTGTCTGGCCACACGTCATCTGCCCCTGGAGCGCAATGTGCTGGTGCATTTTGACTCGCATCCGGATTTGGTTGTGGCACGCGATATACCCGCCAGTGCCAGCTACGACAAGGACACCATGCTCAACGAGCTGAGCATCGAGAACTGGATTATGCCAACGCTCTACGCAGGTAAGTGGGCTCAATCCTCAATCCGCCAATCAATCTCCCATTAGTCACTCCTCACTGGCAACTGCCTCTCTTTCCGCAGGCCACTTCGATCGCGTCGTCTGGCTAAAGAACTCGTGGTGCCAGCAGATACCCAATGGCAAGCATGAGTTCAAAATTGGACACAAGGCGGATCGCATTGGGGTCGATTGTCCGTTGGATTATTTCATAGCCGAGGGCAATTATTGCACCAGTGATGAGCTGCAGGAGGCGCGCACGGTGCAGTTGCAGGTGCACGATGCCGACACAGATCAGCTGGATCCCGCACAGTTTTTGGGCGTGGAGGATGCAGCGGGTTTTATACTCGACATCGATTTGGATTTCTTTAGCACATCGAATCCGTTTCTGGAGATCTACAAGGATGCCAATTGTTATGCCCAGCTCACGGAGATCTTTCACTTTGAGAGCGTGGAGCCGGCAAAGCAGGCGGGCACCGCCACCATTGCGGACTATTGTCGAACGGCGGCGATGCGACAGAAGCAGCTGGATGCACTTAAGCGCATCTTTTGGCATCTGGAGGAGCAGCGCAGCTTTGCGGGGCTGGAGCAGCCGGATGAGACGGTCATCACTGCAGAGATCTATGCGAAAATCGTGCAGTTGGCCGAACAGCTGCAGGCCAAGTATCCGGACGATGAGATCGACTGGCTGCTCATCTTCGACTCCGGCAGCACCACGGACAACAATGGATTGCCGCATCACATTAGCACCAGCAAGGAGCTGGAGTCGTATTTTGGCCACTTTAAGCGATTCCTGCAACGTTTGCCGGTGCCACCAGTGGCCATAACAATGGCGCATTCCGCACAGGATGACTACTGTCCCCAGGATCAGGTGGCGTTCATTGAGGAGCAGGTGCTGCGACTGCTCCACGATGTCTTTGGCGATAAACTGCACGAGAAGGCGATTCTCCACTACATGGACGATCCGTGGGACGTGATGAAGCTCTAAGACAGCCCAGCACTGATTTAATAAGAGTTCTGTGCTTCAATTGGATGCACTGCATCCGCCTTTCAGTTTGAGGAGACCCACAGCGACTTGAAAAGTGATTCCACAACTGCAGCAAGAGAATAAGAATTAACTCCACGCTAATTATAAAATACTAAAAAAACCAACATATTTTTATTAAAAAACATACGAAACGTATTTATTATACACAAAAGAAAAACAAAAAAAAAAAAAAAAATGAATGAAAGATAAAAAGAATGCGAAAAGAGGAGAAAACGGATACAATACATAATCTACAATTATACAAAGTCCCCTAAGCGTGATTATAAATTTATCGCAATAAAATAGATGACAATTAAATGGATTTTATTTGACTTATGAATTAGTTGTTTAATATACATATCTTAAGACAAATGCTAAAATAATCGCAATTTGCCGACTCTCTCAGCGAAGAATTAAGAACTAGTTTATTAGTTTTCAAATTATAAGGAACTTCAATCTGGGCAGCTTTAATAAATGAAATATATTACTTATAGCTTATACAGTATCAAGACTTTTACCGATTCTGACCAGTTTGGAATATATCATTTCTGAGATCTGCTTATTAAAATATTTTGCTTTTGGTATTTAAATATTTTTTCTGATTCTGAAAACTTTTCGAATTTTTATACAAATGAATTCCTTACACAAATAAGTTGCACAAATCATAAATTTTCGTTTAAAATATAAATTGATGCCAGAAAATTTAATATGGAAACTAGATTTTCACATGGAAGAGTTCTCATAATCAAATAAGCACAGTATATTTTTTAATCATGATTAGGAAGTCTTAAGCGAACTAAATGAGACAAACATTTTCTTCTTATTCTGAACACGTTTGAATGTAGAATTTTCTGCAACTCTTTTTGAAATTTGCTTATAAAAATGCATCAATTTATAATTTTCGACACATCTTTTGAGATTTGTTTATTTATTATATATAATATGTTGCACATAAAATACGTTTTGCTTTAAAAAATAAATTACTGCTAGAAAACTGAATTATTTGGGAAGCAGACTTTCATCTGGAAGAGTTCTCATAATCAATCGAGCATAATCACGATTAAGAAGTTCCGCATAAACGAACCAAGTAATACGAAATGTTTGCAGTTATTTTTAGGGGTTTCCTACTTTAACTCCACCCATTGGAATTGGGTTGCAAATCGATAGTGGGCCAAACTCGTCGATGCATTTGCAATTTGTGGTTCAGTCACATTGGAAGCATTCCGGAATTCAGACAGAGAGTAAGTTTTCTACTTAGACTACGCAAAAAACAGTTTGTTCCCTTAATGGCAAATGCTTAAAGGTAAATTGGACTTTTATGCTTATAACTACAACTCCTGCTTGTCACCCTTAGTGGAAGCTTGTTGTGGCAGCTGCTCCTTAAGGCACTCGCGCTCCTCTCGCCGCTTCAGGACATGATCCTCGCAGAGATGCTGCTGCAGCGATTTCACCTGCTGCAGCTTAAAATACCAATCGCTGATGGCATCCTCGTATTCCTCGAGCATGTTCTCGCATTGGTTTTTCATCTGGGTGACCTCGACGGGTGGTTTGTCCCACAGCTCGTAGGGTATGCCCAGATCCACCTTGACACCCTTGTCCACCAGGCCGTGAAGCGTTTGGAATGTCTGCGACATGCCCTTGGCAAATCGGGTGCTGTCCGTGCGCTCCTTGTGCAGATTGTACTCGAGCACGCGTTCGCATACGTTCTCTAGGGACTCGAGCAGGCGCAGTTCGCTGCGTCTGTATTCGGTGCGCTTCTTGGGACGCACATCGTCCACCGAGTAACCAATCTCAATTACTTCGTGCGATTTGCCGGTTTCGCCCAAGCGCGCTTCCAATTCGGCGGAGAGAATTTTACATGCCTCGCAGCGATTTGCATAGCGTACACCTTGCTCCTCCTCAGCGGTTTCCTCGCTGCTCGAGTCCCTTAGCAGGACTAAGAGCAGAAATATAAATAAAATTCGCAACATTTCCAACAGCTGCTAAATAAAATAAGTAAATCAACAACTGACGTGTGACAGATAAATTGATAATATGCGCAAAATTATCTGTGCGGCTGCTTCTTCATTTCGTTTTGCCATTCACGTAAAAGTTACTCCCTGTTATCGATAACTTCCTGTTGCTTCTCCCGCGCGCAAAATTTGAAATATGAGGCTTGGCTGCCCCGAGCAACGCCATGAAAACCAAAACAATTCCAAAATGTGCCCCCAAACCCCAAACGTCTGTGCAACTTTCACTTGGAGCAGGCAACAATGTCGAACAAGAGGTTCTATTTACGTCTGGAACTGCAGTTACATGCGGTTGGTAACATTCGTCATTCAGCAGATTTCCTTTAATCCATAAATTATTGAATCTTTAAGGTCACCTGTCCGGGCGTCTGGCTGTGCTCGCACGGCTATCTGGAGGCCACGCTCAAGACACTAGGCTACTATTTTCGTACGGGCGCCATGGAGCCACGCTTTCCCATGCTCTGCCACGATCAGTTCACCATGGAGGGCTACTTCAGGCGTGTGGATTCAATGCAACAGATGCGAGAGCTGCTCAACGCTGAGCAGCTGGAAATAACGCTCTGGCAGAATGGACGCCGATTGGCCTACTATGTGGGCAGCTTGTCGGATGTGATGCAGCCGCCAATACCACGTCTGAGCTGTGCGCACAGCGATAACGTGCAGCTGCTGATGAAGGCGACGAGCGCCTTTCCCGGCATCATTGCCCCTAAGGTGGAGCTGTCTGCGGTACTAAGCACAAAGGATAAACAGCGCAGCTGCTGTCAAGTGGATCTGCAACGGCCGTTGGGCAATCGTCATGTGGAGAGTCGTTGCTTGAGTCGTTTGGAGCGTCCACGTAAGCAACAACAGCCTGTCTGCCATTCCAAGCGCTCGAATTGCTGGCCAAACAGTTCCAGTTGCAGTTACGCAAATAGTTCGGAGCAGCTTGAGCGCAGATTGTCCACCTGCTCGAGCAGCACACAGCTCAGCACTCAATCGCAGACACTCAGTCAGCACTCGCACGGGACGCAGTGCAGCCTCAGCGGTGCTGCTGCCGAGCATCAGAGCAGCTGCCACATCTGCCTGGCATACCGAAGATTGTTTGAGACTTGGTAATTAAAATAAATGTGCTTATATTTAAACAGTAATCAACTATGATAGATGGCTTCAGAGGTAGACAGAGAAATCCGATTGGGCAAAGACCAGCACAATCAATGTAATGATGAGATTATAGGGCGCAGCACGCTCCAACTCTTGCGGCTGCAGCTCATTGCGCAGCAGCACACAGGAGCGTGCTATGTACCGCAATGCGCTGAACACGTGCGGCTCCAGCGGCAGATGCAGGCAGACCAGCGTGGCATACAACCAACGTGCCAGCCAAGCATCCTCCAATAGATCAAGTGGCTTCTGGGCGGCTGCAGCAGCGGCAGCCGAAGTGCTTGGCTCATCACTGGAAACGGTCGGATCATCTGGCGTCTGCAACCACTTGCTGAGCATCTCCAGCAACAGTTCCAAATCACTTTGGCTCAGACGGAGCAGCGTGCTCAGCAGCGGCTGCTGTTCGCGACAGAACTGCTGCCACTTGTTCACGTCTGTGGTGAGTGGTGGCTCAATGCTCTGATCATAGTGCTGCACACTCAATTCCCGACGCAGTGCACCAACTCGACGACGTGCCTCCTTGAAGCACTTGATTTGTGCTTGCCGCCACTCGGGCGTCGGCAGAAGGCACTTGTGTGGCGGCAAGGGAGGCTGCTAAATCAAATCAAAGATATATATACACTCGTTCGCTGCAGCAGATAGAAAACAATCCCACTTACGCTCGTGAGGAGTTCGAATCCATTGCTGGCCACATTGTTTTTGATTTTCGTGGATCGTTTGGTGACCACAGCCGGGCAACGTTTTCGCTCGTAGATCATGTGCATTAGATACTCCTCGCCGCTTTGTGGCGGCTTCTGTGGATCAAAGTTTTCGTCGGGCTCACGTATCTCCAGCGCCTGCATCTGAAATGTGTCCTCATCTGTTGACTTTTCCATTTTTATGCTTTGTGTTGAAGCAGTTGCTGTTATTTTTGCCGGCAAGCGTTTACCTATCGAATTGTAAACATAAATCTATTAGAGATGAGCACAAAACAAAGATAATAAAAACATACACACAGTATGTTCGTAGAACAAATATATAACATACTAATTAAAAATGCTGCAAACTTATCAATGCTATTGCAATATTAATCAATCAATCAATTTTATATTAGGAGAAAATTCACCGTATGCATGGCTCATCCCTAGAGTCGATATGTTGAAATATCGATGTTAAACAGCTGTTTATAGTTATTGCGACAAATAGGGCGCCAATTTGTATGCTTTTGGCGCCAACCTGTGAGTGGCAAAATTACCGCTTGATTTAAATTAAGCAGCCGATTGGTTGCTTTATATTTTCTTATTCTACTGAGTTAATGGTTGACAATGATTATCAGAAAGAATTCCAAGATTTAATGCAGCTATCCACAATAGGAAAATCCAGTAACTGGAGTATTTAGTTTCTACTCCGTGGAAAACCATTACGCTGTTTATACAACTATCTCTTGTTTATAAAAGTAAATCTTTTTATCAAAAATTTTTAATTTTGTTGCAATAATATGATTTTTTCAAGTTGCAAATGGGTCAACATAAATTAGAATACAATTATATATGTTATGTAGCTATCAATGTTTGCGTGCACTGGAAAGCCTGTTGAAAAATACAATAAATTATTTATTTAATGTACTGCCTTACAAATTGGCTGGTGTTATGCAAGGGAAGGTGCTTATGGAAGTGGTGGGGAGTTCTTGTGATTTTGTCAAACATTAGACCTCTGTCTGTCCGTTCAACTATTGCGTCCCTGGCAGGCATGTCGTATACGTAATCACAATGCTCCACTTGGCCCAAGCTAATAATAGGCTATACAAAGGTCATTTGATAATTGTCTTATGAGGACTCAGGTGCCGACAAGGCACCCTTATTGTTCAGACGGACAGAGGCTTTTGTGTGCCAGCTATACGGCCATAAAATAGCCATAAGAAGAAAGTGCCCCCCAATTAGCTGTCAGGCCCAGGAAAACAGGGAACGCAACCAATCTGTGCATAAGATCAGGATAGGGGGAAGGGAGAAAATACGCGAAGGGGGCGGGTGGTGGGTGGGTGCTTTTGTTAGAAGTATTTGCTTACACAGTTCCTTGAGTTGTGTTCAACGGAGATCCATTGAATTTGAGCATTTGCTTACTGCCAGTAGTTACATATCAAAAATGTTTATTAAATTTTCTTATTACGCTGCATGCTAAGCGAAACGAAATTTAAAATTCATTAAAACACACACTGCCAAACGTTAGCCAAGGGCCACAAAAATAACAACAAAAACAACAACAACAACAACGAAAAGGACACAATGGAGTGCAGATGATGCACATAAATACTTGTACATATGTATGTATATGTATGTATGTGTGTAACGGCGTACATCACAAATTTAAAAAGAATTTCTGGAAAATTATATTAAGCTTCGACCCACTCCGCTTGGTGACTTTGTGCAAATATCTTTAAATTTCAAATTGAATTTGCCGAACGTTTTTTTAAATCTAATAAGAAAATCATAAAATAATTGTTATAAACATAAAAACAAATATAAAAAAATACTGCTATTATGTGTACCCAAGAAAAAGAACATTAAAATAAAAATGATTCAAGTTTAAAATGTTTCAAAGAGCCAATTCCTGTCTTGAGAATGTGTATCTGAATTTGAGACTTAAATTGTTAATTTAATTGTTTTGTGCCTGGTGAGCTCTTTTCATAATTTAAGTCCAGTTGACCTGGACCTGGCCAGCCAAATACATATTAAATTTTTAATATATTTTAAATATGTTTTTCGCTTCAACTCAATTTGAGCTTTTCGAAATATATCGGAGTATGTAAAAAATAAAACAAAACACTTAACCAGAAAAAAACATGTTATAAAAAAAGTTATAAAATGAGGTCACAAACATTAAAGATTATAAAATTAGGCAATTCCAATGAAAAATCCCCGAAGATTAATTTCAGTTATTTTTTTTTATATCATTTCATTTCATTAGTAGGTTATATATATATATATATATATATAGAGAGAGAGAGAGAGGTCGGCGAGACTAATGGCAGTTGTGCATTAAGTTTATGAAGTTAGAATTTGAATTTTTACAAAAAAGAACTTAAATCGAGAATCTCTGGCGAAGATATAGCACAACGTACGTGCTTTAACTTTAAAACAAGTTCTCCAGTCTCTGTTTACTGAATGTCGCTCTCCCGCTTTAATTTGCCAGTCGAATATACCCTTTATGTCTGTCAAGTTGGTGAGGGGCGAAAAAAGAGCTGAGACAGGCAGCAGGCAGTAGACATTGTGTCGCTGGCGCTGCTGGGTGGTCTTCTGGTCTTCCATCCGCCAGCTGCCAGTTGCCGGTTGCTTTCTACTCGCTTTTGTTCGCTGACTGCTACTTTAGCAATTGTTTCCGTTGCATGGTCGGCGAAACAAAAATGCGTTGCACGCTGATAATCCTTTATTTGTTTTTTTTTTTTGTTTTTGTTCGCTGTATCATTGCATTATTTGGGAAATCATATTTTTCGCAGCTCAACAGTGTGCAAAGAAAAACTAATTTCTATTACTGTTGGAGGACATTTTGTTGTGACAACGCATACATAAAATATGTGTTTAAAATGTGTCTCGAGGGCCTAAGGCACACACACACACACACAAACCGCTCACTTGTCTGCCCTGTCCGATGTGTGGGTGTATGTGTTGACGCTGTGTGTATGTGTGTGTGCCTGTGACAGCCCCAAAATTGCTTACCAAAATGTTGCTGTGTGCTTTACTAAAATGTATTTACTCGCAAAATTTGTGCTGCGTAGAACTTTTAACCTTTTTTGTGTATCTTCAATCAATTTTAATTGAATTTCTAAGAAACGCTGGAAATATGTATCAACTCTTTTCTACAAGACCATTTTTTATATATAAATAGACTTATATTAAAATCTAATTATTTTTACCCATTTACCCGTTTAATTTGAAACTTGTTTTCTTTTAATTATTATTTTTATATCTTAATTGCCACAGCTTTCAAATGTCTATACATCTACTTAGATAATATATATCTATTTATATTTTCTTTTACATACTTTTCAAATTTTGTGAATATGCTTTAAAGCTTTAACCCTTTTGCTAGTTGGTCTATAGGCATAATTCTACTCCTTAACTGTTTATTATCACGCTTGTCTCTGTTGATTTATTTGACAAAGGGTCTCGCCAAAGTTTTCCTTCTACTTTTAAAATTGTCCTCTTTCAAAGCAATTTCCACAACGGTGTTGTCTGCATTGGCCTAGCCACTTACCAACAAAAAAATGAAAAGAACGAAAAAAAACTGTATTACATATTGCCAGAGAGTTTATTTTGGCCGCTCGACAATTTTTCAATTTTGCAAGGCTGGCAGGCCTCGAGGACACCGTTCAGAGTCAAGGCTAGAGCGGCAGCAGTCGTTTCCATTTTGCAACAAGTTTCACAAAAATTCCAGCCGCACCTGCGACGCGTCACAGTTGCAGTTGCAGTTGCATTTGCTCTCAAGGCGGCGCATGTGTTTTATTTATCTTCGAGTGTGAGTATGTGTGTGTGAGTGTGTGTGTGTATCTGTGTTTGTGTTTGCTTAACCTACATCCGTCCCGCATCGCTTAACAGCAGCCTACCACTTTTCAAATCATCCACATCCGCATTCGCATCCGTCGCTCACCAACCTTGGGAGCTAAAAATATGCCCAGGCCGAGGCATATCAAAAGGCAAAAATGTTGAGCATTTTTAATGCAAGTGGCGCGTCGGCTTACACACAAACGGAGAGGCCGCATAAAATGGACATTTATATTACATTCACATACATACGCCTATGTATGTGACTGGGGCTGGGGCATTCCCCATAAGAAAATTCCACTAGTTTCTGACTGCTTTCGCTTTGACATTAGCCGAAAAAGATTCTTGGTGAATAAATTAAGTCTGCGCTTTTTTTTATACCACACTTAATCGTCAATAAAACTTATTTTACTATGCAATTCTCGAGAAAAGTCCACAAAAGAAAATATTTGTTTTGGTATTCTCAACCGGGCATCTAAAATGAAAGAGAAATTCATTTTGTATGGTGAAAATATTTTTCAAAACAACATCAATAGTCGTTTTATTTTCACTGCGAAAAACATCGATATTTGTTATATGTGTGAGTCAATACATATGCATATGTGTGTATATATAAGTGTGTGTTTGCGTATTCCACAAAGTCTCGTTTCCGGCTACGGCATAGCCATTGAAATGCTGATTTTTTCTTTCTGTTTCTGTTTCAGTTTCAGTTTCAGTTTCTGTTTCTGCATTTGCTCCTTGTGTTTTTCACTCTGTGGTTTTTGCGCTTAATTATGCACTAGGCTCGCACAAAGGCCGAAAATGGCACCACAGAGAGGACACATGTGGCAGTTATTTTTATATACCCTATGCCTCCGAAATACAAAGAATATGTTATGCTTCATTTATTTGTCAATATGATGTATCGTACTAAAGAATAAATCATACGCCTTTTGTTTTGTTGAGCCCCGGCTGAGTCGGTTGCTTTGCAAATATTGACGTAAGGTTTATAGTGTTTGTGGAGCCACAATACATATTTCTTTCTTAAGCATATATATTTTTTCACTTAATTCCCATTGCTTCCTGCTGCTTCAGTTGTCTCTTTTTCTGTCGTCTGTCTGTCTTCAAGGCTAATTTCATTTGCTGCGAATCAAATCAACACTCGAAATGGGAGCAAAGTTTCCATCTCGTTGACTCCGGCTACCACGCAAAGAGAGACAAACATACATATGTAGTACATGTGTGTCTTGTGACTGACTAGTTTAACGACAAATCTAATTGAGTTTGCTTAATTATTTAGATTACGATTTGGCACAAAATGTGCCCGGCAAGGAAGAGCAATTTATCACTGAAATCGTATTAAGCTGTTAAGACAAACAGTGACTGAAAAGCAAATAGATGAAAATTGTTTAAGGAAGATGTCACCGCTGAGATTGAGTCATCTGCTTGCACACAAAACCTACATCTGTGTACCTATTTGTTTGCCAATTTAATGGTTCTGCAAATTAAACTTTGCATATTCCATTGAAATCGATTTTATATGCATGCACACTATTATGCAAAGCTGTTATGCAAACATAAACCCTTGTGGATTCGGCATATTTCTACTTGAGTGCTTGCAACTGGAACATTTAAAATAGTTTTAATTACAAGTGCCATTTAAATAATTTCTAATCGGCTATATGGCATTTAAGACATTGCACTTGAGTGAACTATAATTTATAGTTTACACATTCGCAGATACTTTTGCACTTTGAATGGAGATAAATGTATCTGCTAATGACTTTGAGTTTTGTTGAGGCACGTGCTGCTTCCAATTAAGTGAAAAAGTCCTCATTAATCTTCCAGCAGCTCCACATACATACATACCTACTTACCTATTTCCTTGACGCTCACCTCAGAGTCCTTGGACGGAAGTTTTATAGAAACAAAACATTGATTTTCCTATTTTATTTAGCTTCCAGCTTGTTGGCTCCAACAAGTTATAAACAAAATACACTTTAATAATATTTTATTTGAAAATATTTATTGTTGCTCGTTTCAAACTTCCTTCAGTTACAGTTGTTATGTTTTTTTTTTAAGTTTTTTTTGGATTTTTTTTGGAGTTTGGGATTTGGCGAGCTGTTGTTACAGCTTCGTAGTGTGGACACTAAATATTTATATGCGTTTATTTGCATAGCGCTATATAAATAATTAGTAATGCCAAAAACCCAAACGACAGGCCTTAATTAAAAATTAATTAACGTCACGAGCCTCAGCGAGCTATGCAACATGTTTTTCATTCCGTTTTATCTTGTTGTAATATACAAATGAATAATGCATGTTTTTTTTTGTTATAAAAAAAAAGAGAAAAACTTAAACTTACGCCAGCATTCATTTGTATAGTACTTTATTTATTTAATTTTTTTTATATTAACATTTAATTTAACATTTTTGGATTTTTTTCTTATAAAATGGTTTGCATAACTTTTAAGCCAAGCTCTTAGAAAGTGGAAATTGGAAAAGGCTCTGAGATTTGTAGAGGTGTGCTTTCATTATATTTATTTTATTTATTTTTTGGTTTTCTCTTTGTAAAATTGTTAGGAAAGTAAGGCAGCAAGTTATAAATGAATTTTGAGTTGGGTTTGTTATTGGAAAGAGTAAGGCAGCAAGTTAAGATTAGAGAGAATTGATTTCTTTCTGTATTCAGCAAGTGCTTTCTCACAATTAAGCCGCTTAAATGTACATTTATAAACATTTATATGCACTAGATATATTTGTCATTGTATAACTATAAATAACTACCATAATTATTGAATTATTTATATGCCTTGCGTTACTTTTATTCAATTTAATATTTAGCCATCTAACAACTCAGTACAAATTTATATATTTAGCCCATATGCACATCTAGTTATTATATGAATTTAATATAATTATATTATATACGCTTATTACTAAATCAAATATTTGGATTTATACTGAGAGGGTCTTTAAATTGGAAGGGATTTTGTGACATTTTGCAGTTAATTTTGTCTGTTAAATAAAGGCAAACAATCCAATTTAAACGATGTTTATTCAATATTAAATTATATTATATACAGTTGACATTTAGATTTGAAAAAAAAAAACAGATTCTAAGATACTTAAAATACAAAAAATCCCCAAATCAGCCCATTTAAAATATTTAAATATCATTTTGAAAATGAATTGAATCACTTCCCCTTCCAACTATCAACCACATAAAATTGTTTTCAAATATTAATAACTTTTAACTAGAACATAATTTCTAACCTCGTAATATGCGCATAAGAATTTTTATTACAAATGTTTTGATTAGAAAATTAATTTGAAATTTCTTTTCGCAACTGTTGCTAATTGATAATGAGATTTTTTTTAAGGGTAAATTCGTATTCGAAATGAAACAATTATAGCTCAATAGTTAGTTAGTTAGGCACTTCAATAATGAAATGAGTTCTTTGCAAAAAAAACAAAAACAAATAGTTTCCTATACTAAGAAATGCGAGAAGAGTCGCGCGCGTTTTGCAGGCGAGTTGGTCGCGCGCGTTTTTAACAGCAAGTAGAAGCGCTTACATTTAATATTGATATAAAAATAATTATATTTAAAATGCTTATTTATGATAATGCTATTATTGCAATTGAAACACTTGCAAGCCATTTACGTTTACTAGTTGTAAGCCTTGATTTTTATTTGTATGTGTGTCTTGTGTGTGTGTGTGGAAATTTGTTTTATCATTTGAAAAGTTTATCACAAATTTTTCGTTACAATTTCCGCTGTTTTTCTGTTACCCAAAGTCGGCCTCCCTGTGGCCCAATTGACTCCTGAACCCCGACAAATGTTTGCCCAGACTCCGGCCCGCCGTTGAGGAAGCCAACACGTTGGAGACGGAGGACGAGGCTTCCGTCTGCAAGCTGGTGCTCGACTGATATGTGACGGTGTAGTCTGGCGTCGGAGCCAGGAGTAAACCTCACGTGCGCACAAATTTGTACACGATGAGAAAAACCATAAATGAGATGGCGACTAGGACGACAGCGGTGACAACTTTGGCGCACGTATTCAAGCCCGATTCGTGTGGATTGAGCGGCCTGGAGCTGGTGTGCGTTGCCGATCTCCGGCGCTTGGTCGCCAGACCGCGGGCGAGCGCTGGAAATGCCAGCGACTGTGTGAAGGTCAGCTTGTGTATGGACTCGCTGAGTGAATAGGGACCCACAGAGCCGCGCGCCGCCGCCCGGAGCAGCACGTACTCCAGATCGAGGGCATCGAACAGGGAATAGCGGGCGGTCATTGTCGATGAGCGACGGCGTCCATCATGCTGGTGTCCATGACGCGAATCGCGATCGGACTGTGGCTGCAGCCACGGATCGGAGACGCGCTGCTGGGCGCCCGCCGCGCCGACAGCAAAAGCGGAGGAGGAGCAGGCGCCGCTGCTGGCTGTGGCAATGCCGCCACTGCTGCCACAACCACTGCCCCCAGCGATACCAGCGACTGCCACACCCCCGCCCAGGCTGACCGCTGCCACGGATGTCAGCGACGACGTCGTCGACGACGAGGCCGAGCACAAACGCATATTGGTGGCCAGTCCATTGTCATGAAACTCATTCGCATCCTCAATCGATGTCTGATCCGGCGATGTTTGCGCCCGTTCCAGCGCCGCTGCATGCTTCATGCGCAACGCAAACAGACGCGCATGATCCGGATGCAGCAGGGCACTGGACTTGCGGCGATAGTTGGCAGCACCGCTGGGCAACACACAGATGCTGTTGCGCATCTGCCGTCGTCCAAGCGACAGACTCGGCGAGCCCGGCGTGGGCGTACTTGTTGGGGACACATGACACGAGCCGCCGCCGGTCTGACCGCTGGGCAGAATGTGAACGCCCGGCGGTGCTACAAACGCATTTGGCGATGGCGATGCCTGCACCGAGTCAATCCCGGAATCGCCAGCGTGCAGGGTATCACAGTACAGGGAGCTGCGTCTCAGTGTCAGATGATTGTTGTCGCGTCTGCCGTTGTTGCTGCCATTGTTATTGCTGCTGCTGCTGCTTGTGGATGCAACGGCAAGATTGGTGCTGCCCACGCTCGTCTCCACAATGGCGGGGAAGATGAAGGATTGGCCATCCGCTTCGCCGCGTGGTGAGTCCTGTAAACAGCAAAACAGTTGAGAGAGGTGACAGTTGAATGGTGCTCCTTAAGTGCACTGGGTACATTGATTGTTTTTGTTTTTTTTTTTTTATTGCTTGGATTCTAAAGCATTTTGTGCTGGGGACGGCTGTGGAACGTTTTGTTATTTGACTGGTGATCGGTGTTCCAAAATACACAAGTATATACAAAGTGACTAATGTAAACGGATTTAGTCTTAGCCAGTTTTCACTGAGTAGGTGCGAGTATTAAATAAAATCTTTATAAACTCTTTCTTTTTGTACAAAAACTTCAAAATCCAAATAAAAGTTGTGTAAAATTTAGAAAATAAATTGCTGTGTAAAAAGTGTACGAGTATGTGTAAAAAAATGCCCCTAATTAAATATTTGTCTTTTGTCATGTCTATAAAAAAATTATATAAAAATAACAAATTTTCATGTAAGTTTTTAGCTGACGAATCTCATTTAAATTTATTGTAATATTTGTAATATTTGTTTTAATGAATTTTATTTTATGTTGCCGTGGGACTACCAAAGTTGCATTTAAATAAATCTATTAAAACTTTTTACTATTCTTAGAGCTTGTTAAATATAAGTTATGTAAAATACCAGAGTAAAATGCTATTATAAATTATTGGCAAAACTGTTAAAGCGAGCTAGAGTTATTTTCATTCTGCTTCATTTCAGAAGATACAAATTAAAGTTTTACCTATTTCTAAAATCATGATGAAGTATTTAAAAAATAAACTATACTATAATGATTTTAGAAATTCTATTAAGTAACTCTTTTCTACTTCAAGTAATGACTAGTTTTGTAAAAAAAAACAAAAGGCTTTCGAAAAACATGCAGCTTTGTAAATGTTGTAGAATTTAAATAAAAGTGTGTTAGTATCTAAACAAAAGTAAATGGTTAAAAGAAACATTTATATGTTTCTATTATCAAAATTAAATTTCTGTTATGTACACAAAAGTCTTATATTGATTAAAACCCCGATTGTTGTGCAGGGAAAAAGGAGTAGTTACACAAATAGTCGACAAAATGGCCCAAAAAACGTAGTCTAGTTAAAGAAAAACATGTGTTAAATACGCAAAAACCTCAAGTAGGGTAGGTTTATTATTTTTATTTGATTTAATTTTTACACAATTTAGTCAAAAAATGTAATTGGAAGACTGAGCGAAAAGCCCATTTGATTTGAATATTTATATATGGTAATCGAGGCATGCAAAAAGTCTACGAATTAATTGTAATAGTAGTAGTAGGTAGGAAGTAAGTAGGCAAGTAAGTTAGTTAGTAGTTTTAGCAAAATGAGCAGACTAAGATAGAGAGGGAGAGAGAGAGAGAGAGACTTGATGTATTAAAGGAACGAAAGCATACCCGCTGGCCCTCGGGGCCGCTGTTACGGCGCAACTGTACGAAGCCCTCCTGGCGCAAAAGCGGCTACCAAACCAGAAACCAGAAACAAACCAGCAAAACCAGGAATCAAAACCAACAAACCAAACACGCAACGCACACACAGAAACATTGTATAGTAGTAGTATTAGTAGTTGTTGCACAAGAGGCAGATGGTTTTTTTTTTTATTTGGGCGGGGGTGAAAGAGAAAAGTTTGAAAACAAGTTAACACAAAATGCACACAATACAACCTCAAACGAAATAAAAAAATAAAGAAAAATAAATGAAAAAACATAGCGTGAAACAACAGAAATCATTTTTCAATATTCGACACACACACACACACACAAACACACACACACACACACACAAACACACACAGTTCTGCGGTAGAAGCGACAACTGCGAAAGTGTCTGTTGATTGTGCCTACCTGGCTGGGCCACACCTGCAGCAGCGGCAGCGAACAGGATGGTTTGCTGCTAGTCGATGTGGTGGCGCCACCCCCACCAGCTGCTGCCGCGGATGATGAGGTGGTGCCGGACCCCTGGGAGAGACTGGTATAGTGCAGATGATTGAAACGCTGTGCATCGCTGCTGGCTGGTTTCGTTCGCGTCGGACTCTCATAGCCAGTCGAATCGTCCGAGGATGTCGTTTTTGGTGAGCGCCAGAATCGCTTTAGGCGCAGTTCGCGCCTTTTTTCTTGTTTCTGTTGTAAAAAAACGAAATACCAGAAATCAAACAGATATTGATTAACACCATCGTCTCTTTTGAAAGCTTAAAAGTCTGAATTGTTTATACGATTGAACAGCTGGATGTGCTTCTCGATAATTTAATTATATTTACTGTGCTCTCAACCGAATGCTCCTCCCTTTAAATTTGATTTTCTTATTTAATTTGATTTTCGTTTAAGTGAATTTAAATGTTAAGCAGAGTTGGTTTTCCGCATATTCATTCATTCTTCCATTAATGTGCCATTTTGTGGATAACTTCTGTGCATCTTAAATTTTCTATTTATTTGATTTATTAAACACCCTACTGAGTTGGGCAGCGATTACATTATTATGAATAATTAATGCAGAGTATTTGCCATTTATTATTAATCAAAAATCGAATATAGTTTAAAAGAAATGTGAATTATGTAAATGGAAATGACTTCCCATTAAGTTGCTCAACTCTGACGATGATTCATTTAAAATCCCAATACGCTTAAATGACAGAGCCATTAAGTGGTTTCGTGACCAAAGTCAAAATCCAACTTTTTTGACATATCACGATATGTTATCGCAATCGCCGACCTGCGTATGAGCGCCATATATGTTGGCAATTTATTGAAATATTTACAGTTACTCACCTGCACACCTTGTGTCTATGTGTGTGTGTGTGTGTGTATGTGTGTTTTGTGTGTGTGTTTTTTTGTGTGCATGTGTTAAACAAACCAAAATGCAATTTTACCAAGCGCTAATAAATAGTTTTGTTTGCATCGTTGCCATTATTGTGTAGCTGCATGTGTGTGTGTGTATGTGTGTGTGTGTGTGTGTGTTGTGTATATGTGTGTGTGCATCTGTCGTTGGTTCATCATTTGGGATTTGCACTGTACAGGTTCGTTGTGAATGTTTGGCGTTTTTTAAATTCTAGCGCTGCATTTGGCCAAGTCTTATTGCAATTTAAGTGAGTTATGTGTTGCATTCTATGTGCCCCACATCACTCTGACTCCCCAGATTAAAGAGGGTCGTTGCACAATTCCAAAATAACTATACGTCTCAATTACACTTCCTTGCTTTGCTGAGCATTTGATTTCAAACACAATTTGATATATTTACAAGATTTGATTTACTTTACAGGCAAAATGCTAATTGGTGATTATTTTCATTTTGTCTCTGTTTCGTTGCTTGGAAGTAAAACATTTCTGGCCTCGTATCATATTTACCTGCATATTTTTGTAATATCAAATCGGTCTTATATGTTCGGTGTTTCATCCCCAGTCTGTTGTTGGCGCAACACGAAAATCGATGGAAAGCTGTACAGACATAAAACCTGCAAAATAAATAATAAAAAAGACATGATGAGAGTTAAGCTAGTAAAATGCTAAGAAAAAAAATACAATGTAGGTAATCCCATAAGAGCTGACACACGTTCTTCTGAAGATGGAATTTATTCACACACACACACACACAAGCAAATGTACATTTCAATTATATAAACAAACAAAGATTTCACTTGTTTTATTCGAGTTGAGCAGCTACCAAAAAACGCATAAATAGAAAAGAGCTTGCAAAGACGACGTCATAGCAGGAGCAGGAAACGAGCCTTGAGTGTCGCACATTAACACATGACAAGGACAATGGGGAATTGAGAATGGCGACGACGCCATTAGTGTTTGACAAGGACATTTGACTCAAACAACATTCAGACCAATACGAATGTCCCCCATTGCCAAGCAGCGACGCTCTCTGGTCAAGTTGAAGGGCATCGTCTACAATATTTAACACATGGATGGCTGCGACGCCTGCTGACATAAATCAGCAGCAACTGCTGCCAGCTGTGTCTCGCTCTTTAGTGCGTATAAGGGATTTGGCCTTCGCTGCGTGTGATTAACACTTGCAGCTTATAATTAGTTTGACAGTTGACGGGATACTGTAATAAACTAGCTATGGAAATGCAATAAAAAACTTGACTTTTCAAACTAATCGCAGCTGAAGATTTCAAGCAGCTTACATTGTAACTGATTTGTTTGTATCTTATTTCTTTAGTTTACTTTTAATGAGTCAAAGAGCATAATGCAGAAACCATAAAGAATATTAAATCATGATCAGTACTCAAAACGAAGTATATTTAATCCGTATGTATGAAGGTAACTTACTCAAGAAACTGTCCCATAAGTTCTCGTATACCATCCACATATCAATCATTTTAAATTTCAGAGTATAAAAACACTCTGGCTGGGCTTTATCAAGAAAGCTGCTAAGTTGAGTGTCTAGTTTGGAGGAAGAGAAGAATATCAACTCGTTATGGCGTTGCTTGACACAATCCACGCCAAAATCATAATAATCTTCTTGTATACACATTTACAGATATTAATCAGACGTAATAAATTCGTGTCCAGCTGGAACTGATTGTTTGGCCGCCATATATCTTGCAATTGCCTTGGCACCGACTAATAAAGCAAGTACAAATGCTATAGTCGAGTGAGCTCGACTACAATTTACCCTGAACTCAACTGTTAAATATTTTATAGTTTTATTGCCAAAAAATATATACATATAAGATATATTTATAAGTACATTTTCGACTAAGACTTGGATGTTTTGTTATCCGATCTTGATGAAATTTGTTTAGTTGATTAATAATATGCATGTGCATGTTGTATATATTCATAGGAAGCCTTATAGGGTTTGAGATGATATTCATTTTACCCGTTTTCATTGGGTTCAGGGTAACAAACAACCGCAGCAGACCAAGTTGACAGTTCCCACACAGCTGGCAGGTTGTTGTATTTGCACCTGTGCTGGCCTCGAGCCTGAGTTAAAAGTCTCGTTTTGTTGCATTCCATGGCAATCGAAGGACAGCACGTGGTTCCTTCTGCCCAACCTCGAACTCAACCTCAACCTCAACCTCAAATGCAGACACAACAATATGCACGTTTTTGCGCTCGTTTATTCAAAGTCCTCGCCAGAGTCGGACTCGAGGTGTCCTTCAGCTGTTGTGTGTCGTACCGGACTGGGCTTTTGTTGTGTCCGATGTCAATCGATGTCAACAAAACACTCACAATGCCATGGTCAAGGATTCCGTTGATATGCAGCCATAAATCGTTGCTATCATTTCAATTACAGCAGCGATGTGGCTAACTTGGCTATAAACTTGTTAGCCCAATGTCTGTCACGATAATGTCCTTTCTTTGTGACGCGTCCTTGCAGCACGTCGTGGCATAAACTGGATGGGCAAAACCTGTGACTCCCTCTCTCTCTCTCCCTCTCTCTCTCTCTCTCTCTCGTCGTCTGTTCTCAAGCCCAAGCACGCCAGCAATTATACAAATAACGACGCCCCCGCCGCAATTGTCTAGGATCGGGTGTGAGCTGTTAACTCGCTTTTTGTGTTGCGCGTGACGAATATTTTTAAATTGAAATACATTTCTTGTGTGCGCCTTGTCGCACGTTGTCCTTGCTATCCTTGTTGCACATACACCGAAGCACACACACACACACACACCCACTCAATGTATACTATAGTTATCGTGTTTGCTTAACGTGTTTTTCTTGCCGCTCGTTATACATCTTTTTTATTTTGTGTTTTTTGTTTTATGTATTTGTATTTTGTGTTTTTTCTTTTCTTTTTTTTGTGTTCGGCATGTATTTGAATTATAAGCAAATTTGTTGCTCGAGACCAGTTAAGTTTCGGTTCCAGTTCCCATTTGCTAATGCCAAAGGTCAGGGCCATTCAATGTATGTGAGGGTGTTGGTGTGCAAGGACATCACAACAACACGGTTGTCATCATAATGTCCTGTTACTCTTGCACGACACGTTTCTATGTAACATTGACAGTTTAGCAAATGCGACTCAGTCTGTCGGATTCCACAAATTAGATTTAATAAGCAGTAATTATGAATAATTAGTTTTCGGCTGGGTATATTCCCCCCCAATTACATCGCATGATTTGGCTGGACTTTAACTAATTGAATAGCACACGTGATAAGATTTCGGGGTCTTTTGCTCGCCTAGGAGAGAGACCCAAACAAAGCCATCCAGACATAGCAATTGAAATTTTATTACATGCCATTTAGTCAAAGTGTCCAACGCATGCATAGTTGAAAACACTGTCTCACAACACACACACTCACAAACACTCATACACACTCACACACACTCACACACACAAACCCACGCAGGCAACAAACGTGTTAAAGTAAATTATAGATGTAGCCCGTGTGGCCAACAATCTGATTTTAATACCCTGTTTGCTGTGAATGTTCTTTGGGCATATTGAGTTGATGAATGGCAGAAACTTAAGCTTTCGCTTAAGTTTAGCTCGAGTATTCCATCTACTAAACAAGAAACTAATCTCTACTATTTAATAAAAATATATAGATATATGCTGTTACTTTAAATTGAATAAAGAACACTATAAATAACTCCACTTAAGTCATTCTGCCACTTAAACTATAATATTCTCTGTTTTAATGTAGAGTATTTCTTAGTCCTTAACTGTTTAGTTAGTTGGTTTCCATGTATAAAAAATGTTGCATACTTTGGCGGGCATTCAAAGTCGTTTACCTCCCACAAAACTGCTTGGTTGTGGTTCGTTAAGAATCTGAACGTACTTTTCTGTACCATATACACCATATACACCTGCACATAGCTGGGAGATATTTTTGAGCACAAAGCGTATGCTGAACATACAGAATTTGTGGGGGCCATTAGTTTATCCTCGGGGAGCTGGGCTGTTTGCTCAACCTCTTACCCTAATTTGTAAAATTAAGTTGGGTGAAGCTAATCAAATCGGACGTTGACCCAAGTGTATAGTTTGTTCAGTCTAAGAGCTCCCAGTTGACTTCTATTAGTAAGCATAATCCAAACCACACCCCCATTTAAGTTGAGAACCACAGAACTTCACAGGCAAAGAGTTGTGTTTGATATCCACCCAAACCACAAATTAATTCAACTCACACTAAGCTCTCTAATACCTTATGAAAGCCGTTAAGTGTTTGCGTTTACATTTGTTAAACTGTGCAATGAAAGCCATTTGCTAAGACAAAATTGCTTTTCTTACTGAGTTTCATTCCATCAGCTAAACCTTAAATATCAAACAGTTTAATCCGCGATAATGTCTGTTAAGTATGCTGAACATTTTGTCAAAGTCTTGGCGTGATTTAGCCTTATCTTAATTGCGTTGACATTGCATGCTGTGTTTCATGTGGTTTTAAAATTGGAAAATCCAAAGTGGTTCAAAGATTAACACTTTCATTCTAGATTAAGCCTTTAGTGTGGTTTGAGACATTTTAATCTTTAATTTGCATAAGGCAAACTGTAGCTAAATGTAAAGGGATTTTAGCTTTATAATCGGAACTTTATCATAATTGAAATCAAATCACCTTGTAGAAGAAAAGCATCACGATATTGCCTTCAATCTGGTACGCCTTACACAATGAGCCTGGCTCACTTGCATGCCCCAGTTAGAAGCCACTTTCAAAGGACTTTGGCATTCATCCTACTAGCATATTTCATCTTTTACACGGGGCGCGTAAATCAACCAATGGAAATATTTTTTTCCGCACAATTGAGCAGCAATTCAACTGGCAGGCAGCTGGCAGGCTTAAGAGGAGCGTTTCATTTTCTTCTTTCTCCTTTCTGCTTTCTTTGTTTCTTTTTGTTGCCTCGTCTTCTGCACCGTTGCGCGCTTTCTGCAAAGGCTACCTCGACTGGCAAATGGAGCAGCTGCTTCTTGACGGCCTCTTTATGCAAAAGCAATTAACTTAACTTTGCTGTTTCTTTTTTTTTTTGCTTTACCTTTAGTTTTACTTTATGGAAAAGCTGCCTTTTGTAAGTAAGTATAAGCTCAATAAAAAGGCACAGTTTTCTGGCTTGAAATTTGCATGGCAGGCGAGAAATGGCCGAGAAGTTGGACAAGGACGTCCACTAGTCCGTCCAAGTACTTGAACCATTTTGCGGATTTTGTTTGGTTTATTTCTTTTGTGTTTGCTCAGCTTTGTTATTATTGTTCTTGTGGCTGTTGCTCACACTGTGTGTTGGCCTGTATTAACATTTTAGCACATTTTATTGATGAAACGTGACATTTGTTGTCATTGACTTTGGCAATCGGTTTTCGGTAGGTTAGGAAAACCGATTTACATTTCGGTCTGGAACCACGAAAGCGCGACTCCTATAAACCCAAAAGCCACATAATATTTTATTTTGGCTCCAATTCAGTTCGTCTCTAAGTGCACTTCATTTATTATGTGTGCCATAAAGGAGTAACCACAAAGCTGCCTTCAAATTTCCCAAATGCAAGCAGCCAATTTGTGAGCACTGTAGTTATTTTT